AAGTGGAAATCAACTTAAAGCAAGAACCTGGAAGGCTCCATCCGTAACCTGGAATGGGAATTCTCCAACGGTCTAAGATACTCGAAGAAATTTCTCAGACATACGACCGAGAGAAATCAAAGAGACTTTAATTGATTTAAGAGTAAGAACAATATTCATTGAGATTGTCACGGGGTTTTTAACAGGACATTCTCCTCAAAACAACGGCAAAGGCAGATTCTGTGGTAAAAATAATAATAAAACGACAGAATCCCTAATCACTAAGTGCGTCCAGACGACAACCATTCATGCCATAAACTTTGGTACGACATAATATATCGGAGATGGAGAACTAACCTCTATAAAACCGTCTCAGATACTGGCTTTTGTGAAAGTTCTGAGACTGTAAGATGAGTTATAACCCAAGAAAGGAGGACACAATAGATCTATAAGGTCGCGGTGATTAACTCTCCCTCTCACATACAATCTCCATTCTATAATTGTTACTACAGTCATAATAAAATTGTAATTTTTTGCAGAATGTCTTAAAATATCCACGCAATGCAGTTGTTCTAATTTTATTTACGTCAAATTCGAGTCACTTAAAAACAGTGCTATTAAAGGAATTTACTTATTTTAAAAAAGCTGATAAAATTGAGTCGATAAGTACAGGACGGTATAAAAAAATTGTGTGTGCACTATGTCCGCATATTTGAAGTGAAAACTAACTAAAAAAATATATATATAGTAAAATTAACAGCTATTAAATTGAAGGATATACAGGGTTGTTCACCACATACGACACGGAGTATTGTAGCTAAACGATTAGATTTTTACAAATTGTAAGTTTTAAGTTCGTTGACGGACTATTAGAACTACAATTTCAAAATATTTTTACAAGATACAGAGTGTTCCAAATAAATAAAAAATATCAAAGTTGATTTTTTTCAAATGGAACACCCTGTATATTATTACATTTATAGTTTCTACGATTAAAATAAAGGTAAATATGATTAAGGTTTATTACACTTAAACCTTACCGTTTTTAAAATATTTTCAATTTTGTAAAATTGCAGTAAAAATTTTAAGGATTCATTTCTCCGAGGGTATCAAAGTTTTTAATGCTAAATATTTACTGAAGTTAATTTATTAATCAGTTATTGTGTTGCAATAATAAAAATAATACTACCTCATACAGAGTGTCTACAAATTTATTTTAAATAATTTCTAGCTTTAAACGGCAATAACTTGTTTAATTTAAATGGAATGCCCTGTATATTTTAGGAGAATAAGATGCACAATTTAATTGTCTATCGAATTGTATTATACAACTTTTTACCTATCCCTTCAAGTTTTAGTAGAAAATGCATTTTCTTATAATTTAGACCTCATTTATCAATATACCCATCGAATATTGACATTTTAGATAATTTTTAAAGCAACAAATGTACAAAATGTACAGGCTAGTAATATTCTCGTTTTTAGCAAAACGATAATATTACTAGCCTATTTGTATGCAAAAAGAAAACTATTTAAATCTTTATAAAAGAGTATACCATTAATTAAATATACCACCATTATTTCCGCCCAAATACTAATTAATTACATACTTAATTTTGATAGTTAATAAATTATTCTTAATTAATGTGGATTTGAATCAGAAATCAATATAATAAATAAGTTATGAAAATGAACGTCTCTGTTGTTATAACAACATTAATTTGTCAAAAAATGAAATATCATTTCTAAGTTGTTACTTTTTACCACACTGACTGTCTAATACACATACCAAATTAATTTTTTGGTGTTTGGAGCAATTATTATTAATCAACGCAAACAGTGAATTAATGCAGTTTGAATACTGGAATCATATTAATTGGTCCTCTTTACCAAATATTTAAACAGTTTTTTTTAATAAAATAATCGAACTATATCGACAATATTAGTGTCTGTACTCTTTAAAAACTTGGTACATCTTTAAAAATAATCTAAAATGTCAGTATTCCATGGGTATATTGATAAATGATTACAAGAAAATGCATTTTGTACGGAAACTTGTAGAGATAGGTAAAAAATGGCATAATACAATTTGATAGACAATTAAATTGTGTATCTGATTATCATAAAATATACAGGGTGTTCCATTTAAATTAAAAAGTTATTGCCGTTTAAAGGTAGTAAATATTTAAAATAAATTTTTAGACACTCTGTATAAGGTAGTATAATTTTTATTATTGCAACACAATAACTGACCAATAAATAAACTTCAGTAAATATTTAGCATTAAAAGCTTTGTTACCCTCGGAGAAAGGAAGCCTTAAAATTTTTACTGCAATTTTACAAAATTGAAAATATTTTGAAAACGGTAAGGTTTAAGTGTAATAAACCTTAATCAAATTTACCTTTATTTTAATCGTAGAAACTAAAAATGTAATAATATCCAGGGTGTTCCATTTAAAAAAATACAACTTTGATATTTTTTATTTATTTGGGACACTGTTTCTTGTAAAAATATTTTTAAATTGTAGCTCTAATAGTCCTTCAACGAACCCAAAACTTACAATTTGTTCATTATTCATGTTGGGGATTTATTTTTAAATTAATGTTAATCGTTAGGCAAACTCAGAGAATATGTATTTCTTTAGAATAATCAAAATTGTTTTACGTAACCAAATTGTCACTCTAAATCGCTGTCTTTTTTTAGACAGATGTCACTTGTCTTGTCATTATTCAATTCATTATTCGAATTCTCAGAATGTTGTTAACAAAAGTTTCATCTTAAAATGAAATTTTAATCAATCACAATTGTTTATCTCCATCATTAACCGGATTAATAATACAGAAATTACAGTTCAATTACAAACAATTCATTATTTACAGTGATTTACAGTAATTTTATTAAATTCTACGAATATTCTCGTTGATTATTGGTTTGAAATGAATATGACAGTGTCCTCCAGTGAAAATGCGAGTTACTAATTCTAAATTTTAATTCTGAGCTGGCAAATGAACTAGAAACTTTAAACGGCGCAGGCGTTTACACGATGCAAGTTTTGTTTGCGAAAATACTTGATTGTAAGTACTTGCAATTGAACATTTTACAATTATTGTATGTTTACACTCGTCAAGTTATTGTGCTAAGAACTATGGATACCACAAAGATTGTTAAACGTGGAGTAAATATTTTATGTCATACGTTAAATGATGAATTGCGTATTTTGTTATAAAGAAAGAAAAATCAAAAAGTAAGAGTATGGGTAGGTCTACCCCCAATTGGGTAGCTGTGACAACACTGCCGCTATCACTTTTCCTCTTGCGCGTTACGACCGTCTCACAGCTGTCATTCAAGGCCTAGTGTCACGGCCTTGAATTTTTACTCCAAACGCGTGTAAAGAATTTTCACTTCAAAAAGAATTTGCCTTGTTCAACCAATGGAAAAAGGATAATAAGGTAGCCTCCATAAACGAGGACGTTCTTTTTGCATAAGTAGTTAGAATATACAGGGTCCGAATTGTATTCCGGAAACTTCGGGAGTATACTCTGCAGATAAAAAGAAGTAAAAACTTCTTATAAATGTATGTCCTAAAATGCTTAGTTTCGGAGATACATGGTGTAGAAATTTCATTTTTATTTCGATTTTTTCCAAATAATTTCTGAAGTGACATCAATATTTGGATGAAAATTGGTTTTTTGACATGAGAAATTTGATTTTGATGTCATTATGACTCCTATTTGTAGAGGGCGCTACATACTGTTTTGAAGAGTAATAAGTTTTTGTCCGTACCTGTATAGAACTGCAAAGATATGCAGTTATGAGTGCAAAAATATACATTTTCGTATTTTTTTACGTAAAAAATGTCTCTCATTATTGACAAAAATAAACATGTTGAGTAGATAGTTAATTGACTAGATAAATTTGGAAAATGTTTATTTTTTTAAATTAATCATAAAATTTTCTTCGAAAATATGATGATTGATGATGGTTTGGCACAAAAACATTTCAAATTTATGATTTCCATCTATTAACTATTTAGTCAACATGTTTAATTTTTGTGAATGATGACAGGTATTGATAATTTCGATTTCAAATATCTCGAGAACTGTTACTCGTAGCGATTTTTATAAAGAGATCTTTTTTACGTTAAAAACGTTGTAAATGTATATTTTTTTAATTAGTAGTTTTATACAGGTACGGACGAAAAGTTATTACTCTTCAAACCAGTTAAAAATATGTAGGTGGCGCCTTCTACAAGTATAAGCCATATTGACATCAAAATCGAATTTCTCATATCAAAAAACTCCCAGACACCAAATTTCATCCAAATATTGACTCGCAACCAGAAATTATTTGGAAAAATCGAAATAAAAATGAAACTTCTACACCCTGTATCTTCGAAACTAAGCATTTTAGGTTATACATTTATACGAACTTTTTTACTTATTTTTATCTGCAGAATATGCTGCTGAAGTTTCCGGAATACAGTTCGGACCACCTTGTATATTGTTTTAAAAATATATTCGTTTGTTGCTCAACTACTAATAGTAGTAGAATAATTATTACTTTATTAGTAGAATTAAATTTGACTGCTACTTCCAAGTAATACCGTATGATCGAACAAAAACGGCGTCAAAGACGGCTATGGATTGACAATCGATGGTAATTTTGGCGAGGTTAATCTTGAGACATAATTTACTAAAAATTGACATAAAACTTGTCAAAAATTAACATTAATTAGAGAAAGATTAAAAAACGATAATAGAAAGTGTCCAGACACACAAATCTATTTACAAAAATTCCATTTTTAATCAATATAAAAATAAATTACAGTCTTTTTAAGACGAACTAGGCAGTAAGCGCCATTTAAAAATAAAAAAGAATACGGACCAAGTAATGACGTCTAGGGTCCGGCCCTCGCCAAAATTATCATAGATTTTTATTCCCCAACTGTCTTTGACACCGTTTTTTTTTTCGATTCTATGGTACAGTTAAAGATTAATAAAAATAATTAAATTAGACTTACGTTCCCATGGGCAGCCGTATAGCTCCACTCTCATACAAACAGTACGTGGATGTTCACTATATGGAATAAATCTCACTTTCGATGCTACAAATGGCAGTTCTAATCTTTGACGTACTACCAGGTATGTATTGCTGTTACCAGTTAAAACCTGAAAAAAAAATCAATAAATAGTATAAGTCGACTTATTATCTTACCTAATTTTATTTATTTATCAAGAAATAGTCATCTTATATCTGATAGTCAAGCAGCATTAAAAGCGATCACCTTAGTAACCATTCATTCCAGATAGTCAAAGAAGCTGAACAAATTAGGCAAAGAAAATAGCCCACCAAGGGGTAAAAGGCAATATATAGGAGTATATAAGCAGTATACAACAGTCTAGCTAGAAAAGGAGCGAACACTACACTAACTGGACCAGAACCGTTCTGCTTTCCAAGTGGAAACCAACTTAAAGCGAAACTCAAGAACTAGTGATTTCAATAATCGATCGCAATTTTCAAGCGATTTCAATAATCGATCGCTCGTATTTGAAATACTGTTTTTTGCCCGTCGCGTCGCTCGTTGTAACACCAAGCATTAAGTTGCGTGCGCAGAGCACAACATATTCTTTTGGTGAATGGCAAGTAGCAAGCGACGAGCGATTCGCGGGATTTAGTTTATTATAAAGCATTGTCGATGTAGGTTGTAAAATTTTGTCATTCAGATATGTAACGGATAACGTCGTGTAAATTTGCTACCTGCAATGTAGGTATGTGGAAAATTCATTCGGCTTTTTATCGAGTATGTCACATTAAAATTGGATTTCAATTTATTTCATTCTAGGATCGCTTGCGTTCGTCGCTCGTAACTCATCACTTGCTCTCGTTCACTCGTTCATAATCGATCGATGTCGGTTATATCAATAATCGAGTACTCGAGCGAATTTTCGCTCGAGTTATCCTTTAACACTGCGATGGGTGTCCTGTTAATAACCGTTGACATTCAAAACGTTTTTTGTTAAAATGTGCTTACAAATAGATAAAATATTTGTATCGATTTGATTAAATTTCTATACTTGGTAATTTATAGAAGTATTATATACGTTTTACTTAAGGCCATTTAATCTCTATTTTTAAGCTATTATTATTACCGACAAAATAGGCGTTTTGAAAAAATCATTGACAACAATCAGAGGATCTAATAAATTTAACCAACAGTACGTAAAATATACTCCAGTGTTTTAAATGTTAAAAATATATTATTTTTAAATATCCTATGGACATTCAGCCTGATAGAATCATTGAATATAAATGTTTATTTTTAAAAATACTTGTGGATAAAACTTTCATACTCAGCTTGGGTTATCAAAACACCGTACCTTAGACGGCAATATTAAACATTTCCTTCTGAAAATTATATATCAACAAAGGTGTTGTTTTAGGCTTTAAATTGAATCCTGTTTGTTTTGCTTAACCTCTGATACCTAAAAAACTCCACCGAAAGGTATACGGTATATTCAAATTTCAGGAATATTATATCGTAACATTTTCAGAGGCAACAGCTCTGCTACGTCGGAGCACCGGTTTCATTTAATATCGATTTGAAACTTCAAATTGTTCTTTTATTTCGGAGTATTTATAATGCTGATTAAACTAACACAAATTTTATTCTAGATAAGGCTTTTATTCTAGATAACAAAGATATAGCCTGTCCAGCGATACAAGAGGAAAACAAGAGGAGAGAGTAAAAATAAAGAGTCTTTACAAGAGGAAAAACATTTCTATTATTGACATTTTGCAAAAAATGCATTCTTTATATAAATTTTTGCTTGTTTTAAAATGGTCAATTCCGTTTATACTTTTCCAAATTTGTATACCTTTTTAGAGAAAATAAAAAAAATATGAAGTAGTTTCTTGATTTTTATAACGCCTTTTGATATTTCCTATATTTTCATGTTTATTTTTAATTTTCTCTAAAATGCTATGGACATCGGAAAAGAATAAACTGGATTAACCATTTTAGAACAAACAAAAATGTTTATAAAGAATGCATTTTTCTCAAAATGTCAATAATAAAAAAGCGTTTCCTCTTGTTAAGACAATCCGGGGACTACTCTAGATTTTGTTACAGTGCAAGTGGTGAAATACCCAGAGGACTTTTATGAAGATACTTAATATCTGTAGTCAATAACTAGGTATCCAAATGACAGATGAAATGATTAACAGAAAAAAAAATTAAAGTTCCATTAATCTGATGACAAAATTCGTTTTTAAAATACCGACCTTACATTTAACAAGTTATATTATTTTAAAAAATACTTGAACCACATAAATTTGAACTAAACTTTTTCCAATTATGAATAACGGCCCACAAGACCCATAAAAGTCCCAATTTACATCATATATCTTTAAATAATGTAATTTTTCTTAGCCCCGAATAAATTAATTTTCCAAAGGTTTTTTTGATAAAAGTTTTTAATTTTGACTTCATAAATTTTCGAGGTGACCAAGTTATTAAATTTGCACATAACTTTTTTTGTTGGCTTCTGAGTAATAAGTCATTTATTTCACTGTTAAGTATTTAAAAAGCATTAAGAAAGTTTTTTATAATTAATCGAGTTTGAAAAAGTCTTTTATTAAACGAGATTTTTCTGTGTCTTAATTTATTACAACCAGGTATTTTTATGCTCTAACAGAGTTTGCGGTAATTCCATCTTTTTTTTGAAAATGGCTTACTATAATTTATAATTCAAGATAAATACGCTCCTATAGAAAGCATAAAATATTTCTTGAATTTTTTATTATTTCCGAAAACTGGGAGATACAGTAAAATGTGAAATAAAATCATTTTGTTTTCATTAGTTATTTTTAATTCAATAAATTTGTATTTGAAAGAAAATTATTTTGATTTACTTTTCAAGATAGAAATAGACTCAACTATAGACAGTACAGTTACGAAACATATTCCCTATAGGCTTGGTACATTTCAGTTGATTTCAAAAAATTCCGACTGCAGCGCTGTATACGGCAGAAATCAGAAATTTTTGCTGCGTATTTCACGCCGTCCCGGTTACAGTTCATGCTGATCGCATTAAAATAATATTGAAATCGTGGCTTTGTCATATTTAAGTATTTTAGTTTAGTCCTAGTACAGTAATTGAAACTATAAAACACTCACGCTGTTTCGGGTAGTAAAAAATACGTGAGAAAGAACTGGAACTAGGCATCGTGTTGTGTTGTGACAATTTCAAATGTTAATAAAATTGCCGAAAAAATGTTAACACGTAAAGGAAAGCGTAATTAAGACGTTCTTGGGTGCAATAATATTCAATAACTCAACTTTCCAGGATATTCAACTCTCCCGAAACAACATTTTATGGCTTCATAGCGTTCATAGTTTCTCACATCGATTTGATCAAAAGCAAAAATGGATTAAAAAATTAAATAGACATAATATACCGGGTGCGGTTTAAAAGTGGCTCACCCCTAGAACTTTTTTATTTTTTTAGTTAAAAAAATTCACAGTCCTTCACAAAGATGCAACCGGGGGGGCATTGAAAATGATGAATAAAAACGTAAAAATATGATTAGTGTTAATATGAGTGTATTACATAACGAACTTAACAAAAAACAACAGATTTAAAGATTCACTGAAAAAGTAGTAATGTTAAAATTAAATAAAACATTATCAATAATAATTATCTGATCACCTTTCTATCCGTAAAACAAGCAAGCAAAAAAAAGAATTCTTAAGGTGCGTATTCACTATCCCGCACGAACGAACTGAACAGACGAACAAACGAATGAAAGGTGCGGTATTTTTGAACGGGGACCGAACTGCATGCTAGCCACCGATTCGTTCGATTCGATGCGCTCGACCATCCGCTTCGAGGTCCGGTACATCAAAGGCGTTCGCCTGCGTGCCGCTTTCAGATTTAAGGTGCGTATTCATTATCCGAACGAACGACCAGACAGACGAACGAACGAACAGTTACGATAAGAAGTGAAATTGCGGTCAATCTACACAAATATTATCAAAAAACTTTTTTCTTTTAAAATGTGTTCAGATTTTGTAAAAAGTATAAGTCAAAATCGCAAACTTAAATTTGATATGAAGGTTTCTTAGTTTTAAGCAATATAGTGGCGAATACAAAAATTCCTTTTTCAATGAAAATTAATGGAGTTAAATAAAATAATTTTATAAATTACTAGCTTTTCTCGCGACTTCGTTTGCGTCACACCTCGAATCGTTCATGCATTGATTTAAATGATTTTTTACTTCTTTATAGAGACTAGTGAGCATAGATGTTTTTTATTTTCATCTTTTTTATTTATTAGAGCACTAATACTCTCTTTATAGGTTATTTTATTCTTTTGAGAGGATAATTGAGGAAGATATATTTCGTTTATGATGTCATAAATAAACCCTTGTATAAAATTTTATACTGTCTGGTTTATATTTATAATATTGCATTTTCGTACACATGAAACTTTCATTCCCTATTCTACTCCCAAATATAATTTCATAAATTCGCTTTACCTTTGTGGCCATTTTTATGTGTATAAATCAGAGGTCACCAAGTTTTATATAAATTTTTACTAACTGCCCATTTGATGAATTTCTTCTAATTCTTTGTAGAATTTCATTCTTCTAGACTAAATATTAAAGGACCAGCCGGGCGCGTACGGCCGTTCGTTTCGTTCGTGCGCTCCGACCATCCGCTTCGAGGTCGCTAAAATCACTAAAGGCGTTTAAACGATGGCCTTTCTGCTAAGAATACAAGGTATGATCGCTGGCGGCTCCAACTTTCGTTCAGTTCAGCGCCCACCACCATAGCCCCGTCGTAACTGGGAAAATAATGAATAAATAAAAGAAATAAAGAGAGAGTCTGGCAGGTAGATCTGCATTTTTGAGGTTATGGTTTCAGAATTGTTTAGTTTTTAAGACTTTTTTAGTTCGTTTAATGTAATAATTACTAAACCAGCAGTTCAAAATATATTTAAAAATAATAATTATCTATTAACATGGATTTGGACGATAATAGGTAAAAATACTAAATTTATTTCTATATTCAATTATAAAATTTGTTGGGTTTTTAGTTTGCGATGTTTATGGTAAAATAATTTTCATTTTTATTGCCTCTGAATTCCACATAGGAACAGAGATGAG